TCATCCATGATTAGGGATGAGCTATAAAACGTCTTTTAAAGGGGTAGGAGGAGAAGGTACCTTATTGGGTATTTGACCGGAGAAGTCAAATAATGTGGAGATGTGTGGGTGTTCTTCAGTAGTAAGCATTCAGCAATAAATTGATCACTTAGAAATGCTGTTGGAGAGTTCTGTCTTGATTTTGCATACTGAGTCCAGCATCAGGTTTTCTTAGCTTACAGCTGAGTTTAATCTTCCTGGTTTGATTTGCATTTGATCCTGTTCATTTCTATAAGCTGTGACCTTAAAAAATTAGCTGGTGTATTTTTTCATGTGTAAGCATGAGTAAGGGGGGGAGGGAAGGAGGGGCTCAGTCCAATTAATTTTGCATTAATTTTGTGTTCTTTTCTCTTTCATGTTATGATTTTGTAGCTGTGGTCTTGTTCTAAGTTAAAGGCACTGGATTTAGGAAAACAAAAATCGTAATTTGATCCTGATTGTTTTTTTGTAAGGCAAAATGTCATTTTATGCTTAAGAAGACAAATAACACTTTTAATTTGTACACCAAACAGTTCTTTCATGATGAAGAGGCTGGAGCATCTTTCATGTAACACTTCAGTACTGTGAGGGTGGTCAAACACAGGACCAGGCTGCCCAGAGATGCTGTAGAGTCTCTGTCTGCGGAGAGATGAACAACCCAACTGGGGACATCCCAGGCAGCCTGCTCCAGCTGCCTCTGCCTGAGACTGTGATATGGAAGTTGTGGTTTAATAAAATTAACACCTCAATACGCCCATTTTCAGTTTAATTCTGCAGCTGGATTTATTGCCAGATTAAATTTGTGTGTTTCAGTCCTTTTAAAAAAAAAAAAAAAAGATAACTACTACCAAGGAATGGCTTGTTATTGGAATATCTGACATGCTTATTCTGTTTCTCTTGCCGCATCTGTTTGCTCTCTTGTTACAGTAAACAGAAAAGAATCTGCAAGATTTAAAAATGGTGGTTTTGGCTTCTGTAATTCTCAATTAAGCTTTCATCATTCCTAGCTAAAATGGCACGGTGGCTCTTTCAGAGTTGTTGTCAGAAATATTTTTCAGGAGTCTAGATTAAGTATGTGATGATAACTAGCAGAAAACAAAGTTTAAAGCAGCTTAAATGAAGTCCTTTGCCCTGATTTCAGTGACTTCTGGTCACAATCCATTAGCTCTCGGAATTTCTTGAGGCAAAACCAAAGTGGTATGGTATTTCCAATGTGTTTAACACTTAACAAATCAGGTCTTCTATTATCATAAAAGAAAAAAAACTAGAGCAGTTTTTCTGAATCTCTCTTGAATTTCTGAGTGTACTTTTGCATTCTTGCTATAATTGGTAACGAAATAGTGGTACTCGGATTTCTCTCTCTTTGCAGATGTTAGGAATTGAATTCTACTCTTGGTGATTTTGTGGAAAAGGCTTGTGGCCTTTTTGCTTAAATTCAGGTGAATTTGCTCATGAGTGTTTTCTGCGTGTCTTGTTCCACTAGACTTTCAGATTTTCAAAACAGATTAAGAGATTAATTGTGCACTGAACACTGGAGCAGAGGGAAAAAAGGCTATGGGTTCTTGTTGGAAGCCAATGGATACTGAGAGTCAGCTTTCTGGTGGCTTGGTAAAAAAAGAGAAAATGAGAAATTTAGGTTCTCATAACTGTAGGTGTTGTGCATTTAAAAAAAAATAAAATTGTGCATGAGCCCTTTTGATAACCATTATCGAGAACCTCTTCTTCTGCTCTAGAACCTGTGGTTTGAGAGGAGCGGAGTGGCATGGAGTGGAACGGACTTGGTATGAACATCCTTGTTCCACGTGGGTGAAGATCCTGCCAGAGCAGAATATATTTTAACATCTCCATATGTTATATCTCCAAAGATGATCTCCCACCCTGAGTGCTGGCATAAGACATTTTGGAGTGGAAAGGAGAAATTGTGGGGAGCGCTGAAATCCCCTCTTCCCTCCTGCTTTATGCCTCAGAAGTCTGTGAGGATGGAGTACTGCTGTAGGATTATCAGCTGGGTTTGAGTGGGATCTGTGTAATCCTCAGGACACTTGAGAAGTGGTGCCAGGAGCTTCCAGCACAGCATTCAGGGAGATACAAAGGTGATGTTCACTGGGTGGGTTGTTGTGTATTGTGGTGGTAGTCATCGTGATGCACAGACATGGAAGTGACAAGTTCTGCACTGCTGACTTGTTTAATTTCTATAGACCGGCAGCACACTGGGGTTTTCTGAGCTTATTTCCCCTTAAGAATGAGGGAAATAATTTTTTTTTTTCTATTTGCATGGAAAGATAGCGTCTAGAATGGTATAGAGAAACGCAATAGCCTGTTTTTAACTGCAAATAACCTTGCATATTAAAGGTAACCACTGCATATACACAGAATTCGCGTACATAAAAGGAAATGTAGCTTTGTAATTTCTGGTTAAGTACGATTTATGTGCTTTTAGCCATTTGAGAAAATGAACCGATTGTACTTTGCAACATAGAAGTAAACACCAAGGCAGAAATGCAGCTTGGTTACAGCCAGTTTTCTAGCTTGTAAGACACACGGAAAGATTTTGATTAGTTGTTTGAAAAACAGGGTATTTCTTCTCTGTGAAGTTCGTATGATAATTCTCAGATTGCTTAAGAAAATTGCTGGAGGGGTGATACATGCAAGTTACTACAGGAATTACAGATAATTTTTTCTAAAAAAAATAAATAAATTTGTAGAGATCACTTGTAAATAATTTCTGTGAGTTTTCTCTGAAGTCTCTAGTTAACCTTTCAATATGGAGATCTGCTTAATGTAACTAATATTTGTTTCATGTTTACTAAAATACTCTTTCAGTGTGTTAGGTTACAAATCAATTTTTTTTGAGTGGTCTTTAAATTCTGAAACTAGTCAAGCATTATGATTCCTTTAATGTGTTGATGCATTTTGAGTCAGTTTTTCATGGGATAACAGCCTTCTGGCAATTACAGTGACTTAGGGCAGTGGTTTGGAGTGAAGCTTCTAGTCTCCCTAAAATCCACAGGCTTCTGTAAATGATGAGGAATGCCTGATGTGGTATCACTAGTTTTTGTAAGGGCTAAACAGTTTAAGACTGGGGATATTTGTATGTTAGAATAAACCAACCACATAATGAAACTTGAAAGAGGTTTTGTTGTTAAGAATCCTGCGTGTTAACTTGCAATTAAATTTCTAAGTTGCTTTTAAGGTCAGAAAAAAGGAAGTACTTTTATGGTTAAGAGTATTTAAAGCTAAGGCTTAAGTAGCCATCTTGGACTGCTGAGCTAACAGGCTGTGTACTTGGCAGTTAGTGTACGCACGGTGCACCTTCTGGTTTTATTTTTCATTATTTTCTACAGAAGTGCCTGTGCTTTAACAGACATATTTGGTCCCCAAAGTTTTTTTTCCTCTAAGTATTATTTGTAGGAAGTATTGCCCACTACAGTTAAGTATTTATTGCCTAGAATAGCTGTGCTGTGGTATTTGCAAATTGTCTGGCTGCAGACCTGGAGCAAAGCATGAAGTGCCCAGCTGCTTTTTCAAAGTTCTTTTTCTCCATAGTTCTTAGTTTTGAAATCCAGGCTTTGGAATTGTAATTGTAACACATCCAATTTCATCACAGTGTATAAAAACAGGGGAGAGGTGTGATTTAAAGTTCCTCAGACTTTCCTCTCTCCTTCTTGTTCTTTTTTTCCTCTGTCTTTCCGTATTTCCTGGTGGTGGGGTTTCACGGGAGGACCTTCCTTTTCAATTTTCTTCACTCTTCTGTGTTTTCTCCTTCGTAGAAGTATGAAAAGGAGTGTGTGAAGCTACTGTCTCTGTTTAGTTTAAGTTAGAACCGAGTCTTTGTGGCGAATAATTGATTTTGTCTACCCTTCCCCCCTAAATTCAGAAGATTTTGTCTCTCATGGTCTCTTAGACGCAAATATATTGTTAGTTCTGGTATCAAGTTCAAAAGGGGAAATATGAAACCCCAATTCTAGAGCACAGTTCCTGTTTTTTCTGACTTGACAGTTTGAGCTTGGACTTTATTACTGCTGGTTTTTCTTAGTTTTGGAAGCAGGCAAATGCTGTTTGATAGTTAAGCAAATGGGTCAGTCTGGGCATGATGTTTATCTGTCCTCTCTCTGTTCTGAGTTACGCTGAAAACATCCCCCAAACTAGTCATGTTGTGCTTTTCTTGGCAAAGAAGAGCAGGTGGTTATGATTTTTAAGGCGAGCACAACATAATACAGAGAAAAAGTTACTATTAATAATTCATGCATAAGGTACCTCATAGAGTAGTGCAAATATAGCACTCAGCAACTTGGGACTTCCATAAAATATGAAGTATTTTTTCTTAAAGGTTTCAGGATAGTGATTCTCCTCCTGCATTTTCTTTTCCCTTGATTTCCAAAAAAGCCACTCAACCCCAAAAGAAACATACCGTTGTTGTTTTGTCAATGAGAAGTGAAGATGTAATAAAAACTTGACATAACTTCTGAAGGCTATATGTGCTGATTAACTCTATGATGTTGCTTTGCTACCACTCGCGCCTCTCTCTTCTTCCCTTTGTCATTTTCTTTATGCTCTCTTTTAAGGTATGAGCGTGAAAATTAAGTTATTTAGGTTAGGGGATATTACTGCAAATTTGGCAAAGACTTTGGTATATATAATTTTTAAGCACATAAATAGTTCTGGAGGACTGCTTATGTATATAAAATATACAGGATCACCTATTGCCACCTACAGTGTATATGTAGTATTAAACAGATTGTAATTGATATCTGATTAGCTTGATTAGTCTTGATTAAATTGTACCTCCATTATAAAGGTTTTGTAATGGCTTTTCCATTCTCCTCTGTTTTGATCGTAAATGTACAGTTGAAGTACAAAAGTTACGAGCTTAACTATGTGGAAATTCCCTGTATGTGACCACTAGTTCCTGTAAACTCCAGTAAATAAGACTAAGATTTCTTTTAGAAGGGTTTTTCTCTGATTTTTTTTTTTTTTTTTAGTGGTTTGAACAAAGTGTGGCAGAGATACTGTGTTCAGAAAGACTGTCTACACAACTTGTGGATTTCTAGGAGGATGGTATTGTTAGAGGGCGACTCAGTAACTTGGCGTGGTTGCAGCTAGGAGGGAGAGAGGGTAAGAAAGTATTTTGTGAAGCGAGATGCTTGGTAATTGCCTGTTGAACTTTTTGAGAGTGATTTAAGCATGACAACTCCTTAATTTCTAGTCCTTTTTAATGTTGGCTTTCAGTCCTTTTGTAGCGTAATCCTGTGAATTATTTACTTAGAAATGATCACTGAAGGTTGAAAGAACGTGTAGAAAATTCTGATGAAACTTTAGTGGTGAGCATTGGCACACACAACCCCTCCATCCTGGAGGTCTCGAGATCAGCAGTGGTGTTGTCCACTATGTAAAGTAAGAGATGTTAGAGCCAGCACTGGGAAAGAAGATACAGCAGGAGGTACTCGGGGTGAGTCATACATGTTTGAGTCAGTGCTAAAAATGATTGAACAAGAGTGTCCCTGCATAGCTATTTTTAATATTTGCTTACTCACATTTACTGTACTAAGCTCTTTACAGGAAAGGTAGTTAAAAGCTGTAGTAAGGTCTTAAAGCCACTTTTCATGGCAACAGCTTTATTGATTTCGAGTGATGTCTTCAGTCCTGCCGTTTCCGAGATTTTTAGGTCCTAGCATAATTCTTGTTCTGCTTGATGCTTCCAGAAGTACTGCAGTCCAGCATTCACAGCATTGCATCTCGACCTACACGGATAAATTGGCATTGAGACTGGACCTTACAATCACATCAGCAGTGGCACAGCTGAAGTGGTGAGAAGGAGTGGTGACAGGTAGCTTGGTAGTACCTCGAGGTGCTTTTCTACTTCACTAGGTGGAAGTCTGTTTCATAAGGGACATGATTTAATATAATAAAAAAATATTTCCAGGTTTTAGCCTGGAAATGGCTTATACAAGTCACAGCTTTTCTGTTGTAAAACCCTGCTTGCAATGTACGTAATCCTTAAGGTGCTGCCCTTCCCAGGCCAGCAGCACGTTCAGCTCGTGGAGCTCTGATGACCAGTAAAGTGCAGCCCTGACTCCCTTCTTTACATATATGGATATTCTCTTCCTCCCAGCTGTTGACAGCTGTATTTGCAGGAGGAAGAAGGTTAGGAGGTTGCTTGGGGTGCGCATGTGTGTCATGGAGTTCAGTGGTGGCTTCCTGTTTACTGCTGCTGACTGAGGATTTGGGCTCGGGCCAGAGAAGGTGCAAGAGTGTGGCTGGTGGATTCGGTGTTACACAGGTCTGCCCCTGCCTCTCCCCCACGTTCCCCATCGCTTGGCAAGGTGTTGCAGAAATGACTGTAGCCACGGGTTGGGGTGTTTGCTGAGGAGCAGCAGTGGAATCGGTATGCTGGCTGGAAGTCGCTTTCTTTTCTTGCTGCTGAAAAAATTTACTGGTGCACAGCCAAGTTCCTTGAGCTTCGTGTTGGCACTGGAGCTGGGGAGGTTGGGGTCGCAGCTCTTCAGACCAGAGGCTCTTTGGTTGAGCATGGATAAACTGGGCCTGCTTGAGCTGTTGAAGCTGAGACAACTTTTTGTTATCAGCCTCTTGGGAAGAAAGGCTGACTTGTGGCATGTACAGCTAATATCTTGGGACTCGTCAGTGGGGAGGAGCAAAGCAAGACCCAATGATTTGTCAGTATTGCATCACAGCAGCAGTGTAATGGTCCTGCATCCAAAGCTGCTGTTGTGAGAGAGGCATGAGAAGAAAGGGAGGGAGAACTGCAGCTAAGTGACGTCCGTTGCTATGTGCTTCTGGAGAACTGAAATAAAATTATACCTGGACCAAAAAGTGAATTGGCCATAAGCTTTTATGAAGCTGCTCTTGGCCAAAACTGGAAATTCAGAAACAGTGAGCTACTGTAAATTTTCATAATATAAAGACACTACTGGGAATGCAGATAGGCTCCTGAAAATGTAAACGGTTATGTATTTTTTACTTTGAACAGACCTTATAGTTGTGCTTTGAAGAGTGCCACTTGGTATTCTGAAGTATAGAGTATATGTTACTCAGACTCTTTTTTCAGCTGTCATACATTGTGTAGGACTCATAGGAGGATGACTTTGTTGTTAAACGCAAGACCACCAAGTTACCAGGCAGCAAGTGCAGAAATAGGACAAGCAAATATTTTCTGAAAAGAGAAATCATTGAACTGTAAATAAACATGAGATGATTCAGCCCTACCGGAGTTTTGTAGAAGAGTTAAGTTGGATTGGTAAATGGGAAGAGGTGCAAGACCTTCTAGGCAGAAAAGTACTTAGACTGCCAGGTTGAAATTGTATAGGTTGAGATTCTGTGCATTGCCACACCTCTATGTCAAATGCTAAGTGTAGTAGAGTCTGTCTGGGTATGGATGAGTGTAAAGGCCAGCTTTAGTCATTCTGGGACCAAACCATCAGTGATAGGATAATTGCGCAATCTGCAGTACAAACTCTCAAATCTGTAACCCAAACAGGACTCCCTAAGGAAAGAAACAAAGTCCCTCTGCTCACCATTGTACACTAAAGCCACTGACGTGTCTTACCACCTTTGAACCACTGTTGGCACAACTCTCAGAGGTAAACATGTAAAATTTACTCCTATTTAGCTGGTTAGTTAAAAATAGCATATGTATTTGTCTAGGAGATTGAATGAATTGAGTGTAAATATTTAGTTTGCTTGATGGGGTGATACTGGGATATGGCTTGTAGTTGACAAAAGACTCACACCAGCAATTCTCTTAATTGTAACAAGTACACCATGTCAAGCCAAAGCGTTCACAATCAAATTGGATAGCAGGAATTCAGTAGAGAACTTGCTGAAAATAATTGTTAGGACTTCAGTTGGTTGAAAAAAATCCATAATTACTGATACGGTGTCTTGAAACACCGTGCTGCTTTGCTCAGATTATTAGTTCAAATGTGTGCAAGCTGGGGAAATGCTTATGTCCTGTGTTAATAGGTGGTGGTGGAGTGGATTGGATTCATGGGTTCCTTCTCAGCCCAGTGTTCCTGCCGAACAGGCTGCTCGTGGCAAGATCTGCCTGTGCTTAAACACTAAATTGTCGGTTACTTTAGTTGTCTCAGGAGAGAATACTCATACTAGAGAACATCAGGGTGTTCCTCTTTTTCAAGCAGAAAACAACTGTTAGATAAGACTTTTAACTGCAGCAGTTGGCAGCCTGGCCTTTGTAACATCACAGCTATCCCATCTTCTGAAGTCCTGTAGGAGAATCAGTATGAAACCATGGAGGATGTGTGCTGTCTTAGCATGCAGAGGGCATCTGAGATGTGACTGACACCATGTTTGCACTGAAAGGAGCAGCTGATGACTCTACTCGCGCACGTGCGTGTGTGTGCACGTCAGTGAAAAAGCAGCAAGCACCATCTGTAGGGTTGGATGCAGGAGGCCAAAACAGCAGAGGAGGAGCATCTGACCCTGCTATTGGAGAGCCACCACAGTTCAGACTGCTTTTCAGTCACCAAAAGGAGGGGAGGCACAAGGATACTTGTTATTTGGCAGAGCTCAAGTTGTCTACTTAGACAACTTTCTAATAGCTTCATTTGGCTTTCACCAATTGGCTTCCTTTGTTTCAAGTGACTTCTGCCAATTTACTTGTATTGGGTGATTTTTAGGAAGAAGAGAGCCTGCAGCTGTGAAAAATGATGATTTTTTTGCCAGTCTTTGTTGCAGCTGGGATTGAAGAAAAAGGATTTAGGGTGAAATCTGTACCATGTCATTTCTTTATCACTTTACAGGTGATACTTAGGGTTTGTCTCCTCTTTTTAAAGTAAGGTAGGAAATATAAGGATTCCTTAAAGCCTGAGAATATAAAAGTAATTGCAAGCAAACTGAAGTATATGCTGGGGAAGAGTCCGCTCATCCAGCTTTTGAATCTTCAATTTAGAGAGACAAGCTTAGATGCAGATGTCTGAGATCCCTTGTCAGTCAGAGGAAAGACTTGGAAACGTCATCTGACCTACTTCAGATTTCTGTTTCAGGATAAGATAAAATGCAGCTTGGACTTAATTGTCTAGATTGAGAGGAGCATACAGTGTCTAGCTCAAAGGCAGATGTCTGCATTTAGCCAGATGTACAGGAACAGGACAACGTGCAAGTATTGCCAGGGTACCTTCTCAGCTCTGACTGGGAAACCTGTTTTGAACACAGCTTCTTTCTTAACAAACGATTTACCTGAGGCCAAGGTGAGTAAAGGTCATCGCAGACTCATTTTTCAGCTGTTACGCATACTGTTCATTTGTGGGAGAATAGGTATAATCATGCTCAGCTTTTTGAAGAGAAAAGATGAGTGCCTACCCCATTGCTTTTCAGACAGAGACTAAAAATAAACCAGTTTCAAGTTTTATCACTATGATCCTTTTTCTCTAAAGGCCAGTTTATACACCATTCTGTGTACTCTTCTGTTTTACACACACTGGCAGCCACCCCTGGCTGGTCTTTGGGATGCTTGAAACGAAGCATGAAAAGTCTTTGGCGGCAAGGCTGCAGCATGAAGCACAGCAGTCCTTGCAGGGACCTTGTGGATGAGCTGACCCGCTGCCTGCCCTGAGAAGCTCTGACCTTGGTGAAATGGTGAGGAGAGCAGAAAATAAGTCAAAAATATCCATGAAATGGACTGAATGGACTTAGAAGAGGGACTTCAGTGTTGTGTCTCATTTTGCTTCAGACAAGCCAATTAACTAGTCGCAGTTCCTTCCTCTGACTAATAGGGATAAATGTGTTTACAGCTAACCATTAGTAGAGGTGTACTCTGGTGATTAGTCAGTAATAAAAAATAATTGCTATGTGTGTTTATTCCAACAGATGGGCAGTAAAGAACTGTATTTCCCAGTCATGTTAAAATTTATGTCTCAATGGCAGTAAATCTTTCTCATCACCAGTCATGCACATTGAAAAATACACGCAGGTATGAGCATGCCAGTGGAAATGCACTGTACTGTTGAGTAGTAATTACTTAAATTAAAAGCTAAAAAATACAATTAGCTTCAAATAGCAATGTCAAAACTTGACTTTGTTTTTTCTTTCTGGGGACTGATCTTTCTTCTGGTCTCTGTCATGCTGGTGGGAGCCAGTAGGAAATGCCCTTTAAATGCATTTAATGGAGCAGTGCAGTGTTAGAAAGCAGTTGTCAGGTTGCTGGCACGGTGCTGCCTTGGCCCCTGCTGGCATCTCCTGAACGCCCATCCCTTGTGAAACCCCTTGAGTTTGGTTCAGTGAGATTTCTCTTGAGCCAAAGAAAAACGCACCAAAGGGTAGGTAGCTGAGCCAAATAGACCTCATTAGTTTGGTTCAGCATGCACAGATAACAAAATACAGTGTCTGGAAAATGACATTAGGACTTGTTAGTTGAAATGATAAACTATCTGCAGAGACCATTCCTATTCTGAAGCCCACCTGCTCATATGTATG